GGACTTTATAATTTCAAGGATATGATTAATTCCAAAACTTATTTAACAAATTCAGTGCAATGTAGAATAAAATTATGGGTACCAAATGAAAGAGAAAAATTCCGTAGAATTTAAAAAAATTAAATTTTTTTGGGTTCACAAGGACGAATAGGTAACTGATAATGACCTTTTAATAAAATTTTTTATTTTTTTAACTAATAATGTTGGAAGGACGATATGCAAGGCCGTTGTCGAGTTTATATTAGTCCTTAAAATTTTTTTTTTTCAAAAATAAATATTCCAAAATTTCAAGGCTATTCAAGATAAAATTTTAAAAGGGCATTTTCAATACTTACCCGTCCTTATGCACCAAAAAATTTAATCTATTTTAACTCTACAGAATTTTTTTCTTTAATTTGATACCCATGATGTTTGAAGAAATTTTTTTTTTATTTCAAAGCACTTCTAAAAAATCCTGACGTCAGAGATAAAAACTAAAATCGCAATTTTACTACATAGTATGAATGTGAAATATTTGGCCCACGGTTTCGCAAATATATTGATATTTTTTTTGTAAAAGAGCTTGTCGCACGGTGTCATATGTATGTATGTATAATGAGCTAGGCATTTATAAAAAATCTTAAATAAACAAAAGAAATATAGCAAAACCTGGTCAATGAAAGCGTTTCTATGTTTAGCTGAGGGAGAGCGGGATACCAGGTTTAGAGTTGTGGTCGAGTTAGAGTAGTAGAGGAGGTAGGGATTACTTTTGCGAGTGTGTATGTATCGAACTCAATGAGCCCGTATGGTGTATAGGTGCACATCAAGGCAACCACGCTCTCCATATGCCTGCTATAGGAGAGAGAGAGAGTGAGATATGCGGGCAGGCTGATGAAGCGCTAACACAAGATGTGACCCTTTTACCATGTATTAATTGGGGGACTCCATTGGAGGAGTCTTGCTCTAGCTGCCGTAGGCTGCTGTGCAATGAGCTGGGATTTATTTAGGGATGCATTTATGCAGAGCTCCAGTATGGTTTGTAAGCAGTAGCTTAATACCATACCAAAAATTACTCCGGGAGTGGAGTGAGAGTGATGCTTAAAGCATAGTGTGATAGCCAAGCCGGTTTAGCGTTGACCATCGCTGAAAACGCCGGCGACTTATCACTGCACTAAGTTCAGCGAAGAGATATTTGGGAATTGCATAAAAAATGCATACCCACTTAAGAACGAACAAATATGAATGTACAAACATACATGCGCATTAGGTATTTGTGCGAGTTGCTTAAAATAACTTACGTTAATCAAAGAAAGGTTTTTCCGGCAAATATGTATAGCTATCATAATCGTGGCATAGACAACATATATGTACATAAATTGAAAAATATTTAATATGTGTTTCCCCATTCTAATATGTATCTTCATCGCGGGCGAGCTTTGTGGATACATTATACAACTTTATGACAGTTACAATACAAATAATTAATATGACCTTTAAAAGATCTGAATAAATATGTAGTGAATATGCCTGCATAGGTATGTACTTATCTAACTGAGAAGTATTTCCACTAAGTTAGGTAGATCTCACCACCAGAACTTTATATACATATTTATTTATATAAGTGAATAATGTTCACTGAACATATATATCTGTGTTCGTATGGAATAGTAGCTTATGTCAGGAAGCTGGCTTTAGTATAATGCGGCATTTCCTTTATTCTTTAAACAACTAGACATTTTTTGATGAAACTTAATTGGAATATTGACTAGACGATACTATGTAGATCGAAACTATTTCTTATACGTTTATTTACCAAAAGTTCTTCAACGGCTCGGCGCCAGTGAGTTATTCGAAATCGTATGCTGTGAATGCTGCATCATACTAGAGCCAGCCTTTCGACATAAGCTACTATTCCATACGAACACAGATATTAATGTACACATACAATATAACAAAGTATGTGAACAATTTATTTTTATTTTGTTATTACCTTTTTTGTTCACTTTATAAAACTACGCTTAAAAGATTATTTATCGTTCGCCAAACATGCAATTTTTGCATATTTCCAAAAATTTAGGAAAAATGATATCTAAAAATAAAAATTAAAATCTCTTTCGTAACGCACACAATAACACATTTGTGTACATATGCAGTATGAACTACGTTTAGCCGCTTCTGATAATTTGAAAGAAAACTATACTACCGTCATTATTCATGTCAAAGATGTCAACGACAATCCCCCGGTTTTTGAACGTCCCACCTATCGCACGCAAATCACCGAAGAGGATGATCGCAATTTGCCGAAACGTGTGCTTCAGGTTATTGTCCACCTTCCCGAAATATACCTACGTACATATAAGTTTCCTGGCACACGTACACATAAGTAAATTTGTGGTAGCGATTATTAGATGCCTTATTGAAAAAAGTTTGCTCTCCTAAAAATTTAATTTTAGTTAAAGCTTGTATGCTTCATTTAGTAAGCACTGTTTCCGTTTTTGCTGTTAATTTTGTTCCTGTTCCAGCTAATGTATCTTACGTGGTTTTTTCTTCACTCGTTTGCACGTTTACTATCGGTATCCATTACCTAATAGGGGTATTCTCTGAGTCTTGCAAACCCCTTGCATGGTGCACAGATTGCACGGATTGCACGGTTAAAACCGGTTTTCGTATGGGACAGCTTTGCGAACCGTGCAATCCATGCACCGTGCAAGGGCTTTGCAAGACTCAGAGAATACCCCTAATGTTTTTGCTTTTCCCAAACACAATGCTGAGAGTGCATAAATGGTTGTAATTTTTATTTATTAAATTAAAACTAAATTTTGCTGCATGATTAATACATACCTAGAAAGTATTTTTACGTAAGCATACGCACATAGTATTTACATACATATGTAACTAATTTTAAATAATTTAATCTGCCTTATACATATGTATGTAAGCATATTTCATACTGCTTTTAGTTCAATATACATATGTATGTACATTAGGGCGGGTCAATTTGTATGGATCGATATTTTTCGACATTGTTCCTAGCATATTCGGATTCTTCATAAAATTCTAAGAAAAAAATTCCTCCAGACCATAGCTCTAAAGTCAATTTCGAGCCTGCGCATTTTTAAAAGAAGATATCTTATATATAAAAAATTAATTTCTGTCCGTTAGCCTCGCTAAGACTCGAAAACAGCTTGACCGATTTGAATATTTTTATTTTTTTGGTTTGTTTTTTATAATATCCGGATGGTTAAAACCAGAAAAAATAGAGAGTTGCCACCTGTTTAAAAATTTCAATATAAGTAATTTAATTACATAAATTAGATATAGCAATATGGGTAACAAAAGAAAGACGTTATGAAGGCTTTCAGGCTAAAATATTTTTGAGGGGGTTGCCACCTGTTTCAAAATTTAATTAAATGAAATTGATAAGATAAATTAAATATTGCAATATGGGTGTCAAATTAAAAAGGTTTAAGAAGGCTTACTACTGAAAATATTTTTGAGTCGAGTTGCCACCAATTTCGAAAATCTAATTCAATTGAGTTAATAAGATAAAGTATGTATTATAATATAGGTGTCGAACGAAAAATATTTGAAAAATTACCTACCTGAGCGGTAAAAACTAAAAGCCATACTCGCAAATATTATTCAAAGCTTTTGAGGCTCGCATCAATGTGGAATACTGTAACTCCGTCAAGTTAGTGTTTATTCATGGCAAACAAAGTACTATCATGTTTGGCAATGATATCACCCCATCGAACAATGCACTTAGCCTCGATATAAAAAGAGAACAAAAGCCGAAGTATTACCCGAAGCAGTTCATACAAATGTTCCACAATTGAACTAACAAAATAATATGGCCTACGACTCTTTTATAGAAGCTGTGGACACTGGAGTAAAATTTAAACAAAAAAACAAAACCGACTTCAATTCTCATATACAAATTTAAGAGTGCCGTTATTTTCTTCATGGCCCAATTATCGGATCTACACTCAATTAGTAGGAGACTTCCTCTGAGGAACCACCTTTCCTTTCAAAAAGAATTATAGAAAACGGATAACGTAGTCCAAAGTTACGCGGTAACATACATAAAAACATATTCCGACGAATTGATAAAATATGCAGATATTTAATAAAGAGTTACGGATATATTTTTTTTAATACAAACCTGTGCTTGGGAGTTTATTGATACGAAAAATTAATTTCTGATATCTATTTTTTATTTAAAGAACCGCAAGATTGCACTACAAAGCAAATTACATATTTTTTACTATTTTAACGGGAGAAGTTACTGTATGTATTTTTTTATATGTACAGTGTCGAGCAAAAGTTTTGGCACAGTAAATTTTCGCATTACATATATGCAAAATTTTTAATTTATTTCCGATAATTTTTTATAAAAACATAGTTCATACTACACTAAAACACATAAAAATCATATGTGTAAACTTTGTGAAAAACTCAGGAGAATTCAATAAATCAGCATACTAATTTGCAATTTTATATTCAGATTTTCAAGCAACTTCAAACCTGCGCTTTGATAAACTAAAATTCAATGGATTATTAAACTGCATACTTGGAATTTTTCTAAAAAATACTTTGCCTATATTGCGAAAAATTTACTGTGCCAATACTTTTATTCGTTACTGTAAGTAAATAAACCCTTAACTTTAAAAAACCAAAAAAAAAACTTACAATATTTCAAAATTATTTTTCGAATTATAAATTTTTTTATGATTAACAATGTATTTATATTTTTTTTTTGGTTTTAGATCCTTTTTGCTTTCAACACAAGGTATCGTTTTTCTAGTTTCTATTGCCATAGCCATAACTCCCTCTCTATTTTTATCAATCAATCAATCAATTTTATAATTTTTTTCGGCATTTTTCCTAAATACAAGTAGAGCTTTGTAAAACTTTTATAACACCAAATGTTTATCAAGCTTGGGATTTTATGTAATCCGGGCTGGCTTATTAATTTAGCCAGAGAATATGTTTTCTTTATTAAGTTTACCCAGTTACCCATTTTAAACTGCTACCTGTACTGTATCAGCGGTTAAAACTTGTTAAATTTTTATTCAAAATTTTCAGTAAGGAATAAGCGAGTGGATGAAAAATATATAAACCGTAGGAACGGCTCATATATATGTATATGAAAGAATACACACATGCGTCGGCTCTAGCCATTGTGTGTCACTCCTTTAAATTATAGTTATTTTTTTTTATTGTATTAAAAAAATAACGTTCGTAACACTTTAGTAAATATTAATCCGTATATTAACTGAGTATATATTAAAGACTAGAAAATGACCCGGTGAACTTCATATCGTCCCCTCAATATAACAATAGCGTATGTGCTCATACGCCATTATTTTTTTATTGCATATTTAGAATCTCCATCATTGATTCTATGTCTGGTCAAAATTTCGTCAAATTCTACTTCCACAAAGTGGGTCAAAATGTCATTGGAAAAAATGGTGTATAATTTCTTGTTCAAAAATTTCCTTCAATAAGTGTATAAGCTCATATGCGCTATTTTACTTGAAATTGCCACTGCAAAGTTGTTAAAAGAATAATAGTGTATGCGCATTATACTCCATTTTAGCCTGTAGAAATAAATACAATTTATCAAAACTTTAACTCATAAAATAACTTATAATAATATACACTATTGTTTGAGAAATAGTTTTATTCCGACCATTTCTATACCCCACATAAGCTGTTTTATTTTCAATACAAATTCGAAAGTTTTATCAGAAATTTACAAGAGTAGTAGCCTATGGGATTTTTACGTTGCTTTGACTACATGAATGCCAAGGAAATATTGTAGTCATTTGAAATTTCAGCTTGCAAATTCATTTCGCAGAGAAAGTTTGTTCATTAAAAATATGGATTTTAAACATCTGAGTGAGTATCGTCTATTATATAATGTAAGTGAAGTAAGTAAGGTAAATATCAACAGTCTGTGACACGAAACCACCAGTCGTTGTGGAAATTGCTCCAAAGACTGATGAGTTTGATTTCGCTGTGGGATTGCCGGACATAGAGATACCTCAAACAGATGATGAGTATGGTACAGATTTCTCTGCAGGATCGTCGGACGAGTATGTCCCCGATTCGGATGAAGATGCACTGGCTTTGGCAGATGAATTAGATAATTCAGTGATAAAGACAGCAGATGTAGTTTTAAAAGAAATCGCAGACTGTGGTGATACTTATATCAATAACAAGAATGAAAATGGTAGAAATATACTTACGCGAAAGAGAAAGGTGAGTACAGCAAACAGCTTTTGAGAAATATTGTTTGGGTCTAGCCACGTCTAACTCTGAAATATTTCCGATCAATAGATTGAAAGTCATAAATGGGTGCAGAAAAAAAGGAAGTATCATCGCAACAAAGGGAACCCGTATGTCACTAAGAGTGGCAAAAGAGTTGAAGAACGTGTTCCGAAACCCATTGACTGTAAGTGCCGCCATAATTGCACAGAAAACTTCTCAGAAGAAGAGCGCACAGAGATCAATGCAGAATATTGGAATTTAGGCGACTATTCGAGGCAGCGACTGTTCCTGGCCAATTGCGTGAAAATTGAGAAGTGCAAAAGGACGTTGACAATTGGATCACGGCGGGCGAACACATTTAATTATACTCTCAAAGCCAAACAGGTATGCAAGAAGTTTTTTTTAAATACTTTGAACTTGTCAGACGGCGCAATATCTGTGTTAGCCAAGAAGATGTGCCAAAATGAATTTACTGATAAGAGGGGTCAACATGTCCACCAGAGAAAATTAGACGAAGAGACAGTTGCGCTTATCAAACAGCACATCGAGTCATTTCCAGCCGTCGAAAGCCATTACACTCGAGCAAAAAGTCAACGACTTTATCTTGCCTCCGGCTTAACAATATCAAAAATGTACGATTTATTCAAAGAACTCCACCCGGACGCTATCATTAAAGAAAACGTTTATCGCCGGATATTTTGTATGAATTATAATTATTCTTTCCACCGTCCAAAAAAGGACACCTGCTTAACATGCGAGAGGTACAAAAACGCTGAGGACAAAGACTCCATTCAGAAATCCTATGATGAACACATCTTAAATAAGACAAAGGCAAGAACTAACAAGCAAACTGACAAGGAATCAGCTAAAAGTAACAGTAATTTAAAAGTGTTTACTTTTGACCTCCAGTCAGTGTTAACGACTCCTTGTAGCAACGTAAGCACGATGTATTACAGTCGAAAGTTCGCCACGTATAATAACACATTTTACGACATTGCCAGTGGAGAAGGTTACTGTTTTCTATGGGATGAAAATCAGGGTCAACGAGGATCGGACGAAATTGGGACCACAATATGGAAAATGATGAACTCGTTAGACGAATCGGTAACCGATGTTATTCTCTACTCAGACTGCTGCGGGGGACAAAACAGAAACAGGTTCATTGCTACACTATTGATTTATATCAACAATACCTTGAAGCTTAATTCGATAACAATTAAGTACCTCCAAAGCGGACA